GAATCACTTGAACCTGGGAGGTGGAGGTTGCAGTGAGCCAAGATGGCGCCAATGCACTCCAGCCTGGGCAACAGAGCGAGACTCTGTCTCAAAACAAAACAAAGCAAAACTAAAAAGGAAAGAAAAGAAATATCATATATGATCATTATTATTACAGAATGAATTTAAAGGCGGGGTGCGGTGGCTCACGCCTGTAATCCCAGCACTTTGGGAGGCCGAGGCGGGTGGATCACAAAGTCAAAAGATCGAGACCATCCTGGTCAACGTGGTGAAACCCCGTCTCTACTAAAAATACAAAAAATTAGCTGGGCATGGTGGCGCGTGCCTGTAATCCCAGCAACTCAGGAGGCTGAGGCAGGAGAATTGCCTGAACCCAGGAGGCGGAGGTTGCGGTGAGCCGAGATCACACCATTGCACTCCAGCCTGGGTAAGAAGAGTGAAACTCTGTCTCAAAAAAAAAAAAAAGAAAAAAAGAATGAATTTAAAAACTGCTCTGAAAACAGCTTATAGGGCAGAACTAAGGGCCTTTTCAGGAATCTTTCATGGGAATTTGGCTACCATTTGAATCAGCCTGACTCAGGCTGTAGGAATTGCCCAGGTTCCTCCATGATTAAACAAACACTTAACCAGGCCCCAACTATGTGCTTGGGGCTCTCTGGAACATCCCAAGAAGCAAGGCACTGCCCTGCCCTCAAGGTGTCAAGGTGTATCTGTCTGTCTTCCTTGAACTAACAGGCTGGGCAGAAGAGGACAGGGTGGGTCTGGACGATCCAGCCCAGGTGAGTTGATGGAAGCAGGGACCACCAGCACTTCAGCCCCACCCACAGCTCCTCTAGGTGACTCACATGGAGCAGAAGGATGTTTGAGGACAGTTCTGCCCAGCTACTGACTCCAGGGAGGCTGCCCCAAAGCCAGAGGCTCTGGGAGAGAACCTGCCACTGCTGACTTCAGAGGCTTTGAGGGAGAACCTGCCAAAGGCTCATGCTTCTGTGCTCCCAGAGTGTAGGAGCATGGGCCTTTGGTGGGTTTTGGCACTTTTCCAAGGCCATAGGGAACTTCACGGGCTGTGGGCAGATAAGCACATAATTGGTCTGGCATCCAGGGCATCAACTCTGTCTGCTTCAGGAGACTTTAGTGGTCGGGGCTCCCAGGAGCTGGAAGGAGGTAGAGAGAGGATATAGGAGGTTTCTGACCACGAATCTCTCAGTTCTCTGCTGACTTAGCAGATGGGACCCTGGCAGAGGGGTAGCACACGTAGAGAGGTAAGGGAGGATATATCAGGGCTGTGCCAGCTTTGGACAGGGAAGCACAGAGCCCTGAGGCACTGTGTAGGCAGCCTGCCTACACAGCCATTATTGTTGTTGTTAGCTTGCTTATTAAATGATAACCATGTCCACGTGCCAGTGTAGATGTTTTATAAGCCTTATCTAATTTGATTCTTCTAACTAGCTTATAATGTGGGTACCATCATTAGCCAGATTTTTTAAGGCAAGGAAGCCAAAGCTTAATTAAGTAATGTGTTGAAAATCATACAGGGGGCTGGGTGCAGTGGGTCACTCCTATAATCCCAGCACTTTGGGAGGCTGAGACAGGTGGATCATCTGAGGTCAGGAGTTCAAAATCAGCTTGAACAACATATAGTGAAACCCCGTCTCTACTAATAAGACAAAAATTAGCTGGGCATGGCGGTGCACACATGTAATCCCAGCTACTCAGGAAGCTGAGATAGGAGAATTGCTTGAACTGAGGTGGGGGGGGGCTGAGGTCGCAGTGAGCCGAGATCGCGCCATTGCACTCCAGCCTAGGCAACAAGAACAAAACTCCATCTCAAAAAAAAAAAAGAAAGAAAGAAAGAAAAAAAGAAAATCGTACAGTGGTGGCCAGATGCGGTGGCTCATACCTGTAATCCCAGCTACTCAGGAGGCTGAGGCAGGAGAATCGCTTGAACCCAGGAGGTGGAGGTTGTGGTGAGCTGAGATTGCACCACTGCACTCCAGCCTGGCTGACAGAGACTAAAAATAAATAAATAAAAATCATATGGTGGGTAGTTGGTGGGGCTGGGATGGGCCTGTCTGGCTCCCCCGCCTGCATTCTTGTTCTCTGCATGATGTGCCTTTGCTTCTGCACCCCTGCCTGCCCCATTGGCTCATCCACAACAGCTTCAGGTCTCTTCCTCCCTTGGGTCTGATTCCTACTTTCTCTCTAGATGTTGTGCCAGATGCTTAGAACTCACACCCCTGCAGGCCCTGCCCCTTTCCAAAGTTCATTCTTACCACACCCCATTCTGGGCAAGGGAGCTCATTATTTATCCTCCTGCAATAGCCATAAAAGAAGGCTTACCTTTGACACTTGAACAATTCATTTCTTTTATCTGCTATATTTTTATTACTTTATGGTCTGTGTGTCTGCTCACAGCCACACTGACTATGGGGTCTGGTGTGTGTGCCTGTGTGTGTGTGCTGTGTCTGCCTGCTGGGCTGGAAGCTCTGGAAACAGCAGCCTTGGGCCTCTTGCTGCGTGGAGTGTAACCTGTGTTGCTTTTTTCAATCTGTTTCCCTGCCTAGTCTGAGAGCACCTGTGGGCAGGGAGTGCAGACTTGTTCATCTGTATAACCCTAGTACCTGGCGTGACACTTGACATTGAGTGTCGGGAGCTTAATGGACGCTTGTAATAAAGGAAGGCTGTGCGCAGGAAGGCATTTGATGATAGTGGTAGTTGTGATGAGTGGGGACCATGATTGCTTGGTCTTGGGGCAAGAGGTTCAAGGTCCCCAGATCCTTTTCTCATCTTTTCCTCTATAGCTCAGGACTTGGAGTCAACATCCCCTGAGCCTTTGGGAGTGAAGGGAGGAAATCAGGGAGAAGAAATTAGGGGTGTTCAGCTTCACGAGTTTGGTACAGGCCAGTGAAGGTCTGTGTGGGGCCAGTCATCTTGGGTCATGCTCTGGGGCCACTCATTGCACCCTTAACCGTGGCCACTCATGCCCCCCTGGCCATCTCATCCGTTCCTCTTTGTTAGCCTTCTGGGGAAAAATAACTCCCTGGGTGGCTTCATGAAATGGGTCCTGTGTGTCATCTCCTAAGGATGTCACTGTATTTCATTATTTTAACATCCTTATCACGGAAGGGGGTGGGAATCTAATGTGCTAAGAGGAAGGAAGGGAAAACCAAGGATACTACCAAACCACCCACCCACCCGCCTCTTTTCCCAGGCAGTTCAGTGTTATGTTCCCTGGGCACCTTATCGCAAAGACACAGTCCTAGGCCTCAAAGGAAGGAGCAGGATGTTGAGTGAAGAGCCCACCACTTTCCAAATTCCATGACGGTACCCCAGGGCCTAGCACCGTGCTCATGAATAGTAGGTGCTCAAAAAATCTACACAAAGCAAATAAGAGGCACCTATAATCCCAGCACTTTGGGAGCCTGAGGAGGGCAGATCACCTGAGGTCAAGAGTTCCAGATCAGCTTGGCCAACATGGCAAAACCCCCTCTCCACTAAAAATATAAAAATACAGAAAATTAACCGGATGTGGTGGTGCCTGCCTGTAGTCCGAGCTACTTGGGAGGCTGAGGCACAAGAACCACTTGAACCCAGGAGGCGGAGGTTGCAGTAAGTTAAGATCATGCCACTGCACTCCAGCCTGGGCAATAGAGCAAGAATCGGTCTTAAAAAAAAAACAAACAAATAAGAGGTACACTCGGGGGTGGGAAAAAAAAGAGGTACACTCAGAGATGCTCAGACTGCTAAGGGAACAGAAAGAAGGAGGAGGAGTACCCTACTCAGCTTGGGAAAAGGCAAGGGAGAAGGACAGAACACCACCAGAGCAGGCTCTTAGGAGAAGTAAGACTTGAGCTGAGTCTTGCAGGATGGTAGGAATTGTACCAGAACAGAGAGGAAAGAAAAGAGGAAGGGAAGTGGCAGTTGTCATTCTGGGAAAAGGGGAAAGCAAGGACAAAGCCCAGAAGTGAGAGAATGGCTGTTCCAGAAGGAAGAAGTTTATTATGGGAGCATGGATATTTGTGGGGACAGTGGAGAGAAATTAGGTTGAAGAGATGGGCAAAGGGAGATCTTGAAGAACCTTCAGGTCCATGACGAAGGGTTGAAGTTTAATCCCATAGGTCAGGATTCCTAACCAATGGGCAGCAGATCGCTGGAAAGCTGTAGAATTATGCAATGGTGGGAGGATCGTTTGAGCCAAGGAGTTTGAGGCTGCAGTGAACTATGACTGTGCAATTGTATTTCTAGCCTGGGTGACCGAGGGAGACCCTTTCTCTAAAAATAATAAATAAATAAAATAGAATTATGCAAAGAGGCCAGGGATCCATAAATGCATTGATAACTCTCATATGATGAGATGAAGTTTTTCTACATTGAAAAAAATGATCATTTTGGCTGGGCATTGTAGCTCACACCTATAATCCCAGCATTTTAGGAGGTCAAGGCAGGAGGATCACTTGAGTCCAGGAGTTCAAAACCAGCCTGGGCAACATAGTGAGACCCAGACTCAAAAAGAAGAGAAAAGGGGGAGGGGAGGGGAGGGGAGGGGAGGGGAGGGGAGGGAAAGATGGATGGTCCAGCCAGGCGCGGTGGCTCACGCCTATAATCCCAGCACTTTGGGAGGCCAAGGCAGGTGGATCATGAGGTCAAGAGATTGAGACCATCCTGGTCAACAAGGTGAAACCCCGTCTCTACTAAAAATACAAAAATTAGCTGGGCATGGTGGCGCGTGCCTGTAATCCCAGCTACTCGGGGGGCTGAGGCAGGAGAATTGCTTGAACCCAGGAGGCGGAGGTTGAGGTGAGCCGAGATGGCGCCATTGCACTCCAGTCTGGGTAACAACATCGAAATTCCGTCTCAAAAAAAAAAAAAAAGAAAGAAAGAAAGAAAGAAAGATGGATGGTCATTTCAGAGAACATGACCAATAAGAAAAGATGTCCAACCTTACTAGAAACTGGGGTCTAGCTTCCCGGGGCTGCTGTAACAAATCACCACAAACTGGGTGGCTTAAAATAACAGAAATTTACTCTCTCACAGTTCTGGAGGCTTGAAGTCTGAAATCCAGGTGTCAGAACAGTTAGTTCCTTGCAGAGAAGGTCTCTGTGCCTCTCTCCTGGCTTCTGCAGCTGCTGGCAGGCCTTGGTGTCATTGGCTTGCAGGTACATCCCTCTTGGCCTCCATTGTCACCTGACATTCTTCTTGTAAGAACACTATTCCTCAGCCAGGATGACCACATTTGAAAACCACATCTGGAAACCCTATTTTCAAAGCAGGTCACATTCTGGGGTTCTGAGTGGATGTGAATTTTTGGGGACACTGTTAAATCCAGTACACTAGGGAAATGCAAATATAAAGGACACTGGCCAGGCACGATGGTGCACACCTGTAATCCCAGCACCTTGGGAAGCCAAGGTGGGTGGATCACTTTAGGTCAGGAATTCAAAACCAGCCTGGCCAACATGGGGAAACCCCGTCTCTACTGAAAATACAAAAATTAGCTGGGTGTGGTAGTGTGCACCTGTAAGTGCAGGTACTTGGGAGTCTGAGGTGGGAGAATCGCTTGGAAGGTGGAGGTTGCAGTGAGCCAAGATGGCACCACTGCAGCAACACAGTGTGACTCTCTCTCTAAATAAATAAATGACATGAAGTAGACCACCTCACCTCCACCATACTGGCAAAAATGGAAACATCTGTGTCATGGGTTGCATTCTACAGTAGTAGGTGGTGTTTTGGGGTCGAGATGTTTATTAGGAATCATTTCCTGTGAGAGGAACCAGATGGAAGCAGGACTGGGCGAGGCAGAAATCCAACTGCACTGCAGGCTCAGTAAAGCTTCAGTTAATATGGTGGGGGCCTCTGAGTGAATATTGCCCCTGAGCATGTTCTTCATGGGGCTGAAATGGCTGGGTTTTTATATCCCTAGAAGAGCGCTGCCCCAAAGGGGCACCTTGCCCCTCCGGCAAGGTAGCTTTCTGTTGCTGAGGCAGACCTCGAAGGAGCTGATGGCCAACTGCTGACCATGCTCCTGTGACCTGGCAGCAAGTCCTTCCCTGAAAAAGGATGTGGGAGGCGCACTTAAATCTGACAATACAGAGAAGTGGTCTGAATGAAGAATGTGGAAGGCTGAAAAATGACCCCTCCAAAGATAACCATTTCAAACCTCTGGAAGCTATGAATGTGACCTTATTCATAGCAAAAGAATAATAGAAAAAGATTCTTTGCACATGTGATTATGTTAAACATCTTGAGGTGAGGAGAGAATCCTGGATCATCTGGGTGGATCCTAAATGCCATCCATCCCAAGTGTCCTTATAAGAGAGAAGTGGAGGGAGGTTAGCCTGACCCACGGAAGTGGTGTGGCCACAAGCCCAGGAGTGCCTGCAGTCACCAGGAGTTTGGAGGAGTCAAGGACAGGTTCTCCCTGGAACCTCCAGAGGAATCATGGCACTGCCAACCCCTTGGTCTTGACCAGTTAAACTGATTTCTGACTTCTGACTTATTGGATAGGTCAGAAGAGTCCATTTCTGTTGTTTCAAGCCAGGGAGCTCGCAGTAACTCATGGCAGCCACAGGAAATGAATGCAAAAAAGCAACAGGAAAATTGCTGAGGGGACATGAATGGGTGTACTGGTCAGAGAATCCACCTGGGGGTGGCCATGGGGGAATCAAGGGTTCACACCTATGGAACATCTGGGAGAGTGCCTGGAACACATCCCCCTAATATTGGCTGCTTATACTGCCACTTCCTGCTGAGATCTCCTTGAAGGGGACACCTCGAATGAAAACAAGGAGAAAGCCACCTCCAGTGGCAGCCCCACCACCCACCTCAGATCAGAATGCAGCTTCTGCCTGCCCCCACTCCCCACTGACCTGGTGTAGCCCACCAGAGACTGATCTTTGGTTTTGCCTTGCTTGTCACCTCGACCAGGCTGGACACCCCCAGGATCTCTGGTCTCCTGTCCTTCCAGAAAAAGGGGAGTGCTGAGGAGAATGGCAGCACCTCTCTTGTCTCTGTTTTGGGGAAGAAATATCCTTGAAGCCTAGATCTACTTGCTGGGCAGAGGTTAGTAAAATGGGATGGATGTGCCAGGCCAACTGGATTTGTAATTCAATGGGGCCTCATGGCTGTGTACCCCAAAAGAGCAACAAGGTCCTTGGGGCTCCTTTAGGTGAATTTGACTTGCTTTACTCAACAAGAACACATTTCTGAAAATGTGCCTACTGCGTGTTTGTATATGGCGTGTTACACTTAAACCTAGTTTTAGAAAGGTGTGCTTAAAGGTGAGATTTATTTATTTATTTATTTTTAGTTTTTATTTTATTTTATTTTTTAGAGACGGTGTTTCACCATTTTGGCCAAGCTAGGCTTGAACTCCTGACCTCGTGATCTGCCCACCTCAACCTCCCAAAGTGCTAGGATTATGGGCATGAGCCACTGCGCCTGGCCCAAGCTGAGATTTAAAAAAAAATTTTTTTGAGATGGAGTTTTGCTCTTGTTGCCCAGGCTGGAGTGCAATGGTGCCATCTCAGCTCACTGCAACCTCCGCCTCCTGGGTTCAAGCGATTCTCCTGCATCAGCCTCCAGAGTAACTGGGATTACAGGCATGCGCCACCATGCCTGGCTAGTTTTGTATTTTAGCAGAGATGGGGTTTCTGCATGTTGGTCAGGTTAGTCTCCAACTCCCGACCTCAGGTGATCTGCCCCTCCACCCTCACATTCCCAAAAGTGCTGGGATTATAGACCTGAGCCACCTTGCCGGACAAAGGTAACAATTTTTATAAAGCAATTAAGTGGCCTGTATGTGAAGAGTGATATTTATAGCTCACAGCGTTATCTCAAACTCTCCTCCCAACGCTGCTCCTCCCAGAAATAAATACCCTGAAGGCCAGGGGTTGGGCCTGACTTCCCAGGCTGACCCCTCCCTGGGTAATGTGCTAGAGCCTCACCCCGGCACCTGGTCCTGGTGGTGCCTGGGAAAGGGGAGCCACTAGTGGGCCTGCCATGGCACTTATGGGGGCTCCTTCTGTAGTGTGGGGCCAAGAGAACAGGAATCTGCTCCCCTGGGTCAGACATCAGAGAGGCTGGGATCTCTGAGGCACGCAGAATTAGCAAACCCTTTTCTCTATAGCTGGGAAATGGGGACCTGACTCTGGGGTTACTGTCCCCCAGACCAAAGCCCATCTCACCAGCCTTCTGGTCTCTTCCCAACACCTGAGCTGGAAGGAGTTTTTGTCTTCTGAACCAGATACCCACTTTCTGAGTAGACCAGGCTTTCATAGAAAGTGACAGATCTAGGAAGCTGTGGCACCTTTCTGGGACAGCTGTGTGTACTTTGCACTAGAGGCAGGGGACCTTGCAAAATAATACCCTTCAATTCGAATCAACCCCCAGGGAGATGATAGCATGACAGCAAGTCAGCTGTAGCTGGAACCGCAAGAAGGCAAATAAATGGGTTTTCTTGCACGTTTACCTGCCCCAGGGAGACTGGGACAAAGCCATTGGCTACATTAACAGTTTATTTGGGTAAAAACAATGTTTGTGTTTCTCATTCGTATTTTCAGGTTTGCATAAGTACCTACTATATGTCAGGCCTGTATCAGTGATACATAATTCTGGGCTCAAAGAGCTAAAAGTTTATAAGTGGAAATCAATCATGGTATATATATCATGTTAAATAGAAGTATATGAGCAGGTTCTATGGGAACACAGAAAGGGAAACAAGAAAACTTCTGGTAGGGTGGAAGGTGTAATCATTAATTCAGGTTTTGAGGGATGAATAGGAGTTTGTCTTGGGTCACACAGGTGATGGGAAGGACATTGCTACCCAAGAGCACAGCCAGCACTTCTAATCTCACCATTCTAAGGCAGCCTTGTGCCTACCAAGACAGGCAGAGAAGAGTCTACTATTCAGGGACAGTTGGAATGGGGAGGTGGGCATGAGAGGAGGCTGCAGAGGCCCCATCCTAGGAGAGTCAGGCCAAGTGGGTTCTGCTATGGGCTGTGGGGAGCCTTTGGAGGACTGTCCACCCAAAGACATTTTAAGGGAAGAGGGGCTATTTCCGATGGAGGAGAATACAAATCCAAGAGGCCATCAGAAGCTGGAGTGTCGGTAGAAGCAGGATTGGAGCTGGAGGACAGCTCTTAGAGTTAGTGAGCTGGGATTTCAAATGTAATTTAGAGGGAGAGCCAGGGAAAGGGGGGATTTTATGCCTTTCTTTACTTCATGCCTCACTCTGTGCCTGATACGCATGCCCCCAGTTCCTGAAGGAAGGTAGCTGGTGCGTGGATTGGGCACCTGAGCTGGGCAGCACTGGGCCCAGGAGTGGCAGAGACATTGAGTATGCAGCAGATGTTTTCTACTCTCCAGAGATGTCCATCCAAGGGGAGAGAGAATGCAAATGCAAACAGGAGAGGCCACCCTGGGTGGCTGCAAAGCAATGTTCCCCAGGCACAGAGCCATCCGCAAAAGCAGCCCTGGCTGAGGGCTGCACACAGGCTTGGCCGATGGTGGGTTTACAGGGGGAGTGTGGTTGCAAATCAGTGAGGACGATCGCCCCTGTGCGCACACACTCTGCCCTGTTCCCAACCAAGTGCCCATCCCCTGCCTTCTTGCCTTTCCTTCTCTTCCAGCCTCACTAGGGGCCCATCTCTCCTTTCCTTGAGAACTTGCTCCAGGTTTTGCTAACTGTATAATATCTAGGAAGGCCCTTTCGATTGATGCTGGGAGGAGTTGAAGCCAGTGGTACTTTGCTAGTGGAGAGACCGTCACAGGTCTTTTTGAGAGTCCGATACGAGTATAATCTATGCAGAAAAGTCAATGCCCCTGCCCACAAACATGGAATTCTGCATCTGATCTCAAGGGCCTTGCGGCCCCACCTCCAAGCAAAGCGGGAGAGGGATAACAATGTTTGAGGTTGTGGTGGGTCTGGAGAGCCTGACCCAAGGAGAGGCTGGTATCCCTTTTTTTCTCCCTAGGGAGATTTTAAGGAGGGGCTCTTTGGGTCAGGAGGAAGCCCCAGTCCCCATTTTGAGGCCTTCAGGCAGGGGAGTGACAGCCTGGGAACCGGTCTGCCAACCAGTTTAACCAGGGACTGGTTTCGACTCAGGGAGTTCAAAGGAAGCTGGGGTGCACCCCGTCCTACCCAGCCTGCCAATGGAAGCAGCAGCCCTTAACCCTTTCCCGGTTGTGACCTGGGCAACATCTAGGTGGTGGTCCATGCTGGAGAGGGATCTGAGCTTCCTTGGAAGATGAAATGCGTAGAGTGACCTTGGCTACAGCTGGGAAGTGCAACCAGACACCCAACAGTGGGGAAACTGAGAGAGAGCCTCCTGTGCTCCGCCACTCCAGATCTCCCTTGGGATTCCCTCCTCCAGTGTGGCAGTCCCTGGAGGTCCCCGGCTTCTGGGTGATGCATGGGCGCTGGGATTGGATTTCCGGCATGATGAATATTCATTAGTCTGAGCCGGCCTCTGCTTCTGTTTACTTAGCTGGGAGGGGCTGGGTTTCAGGTTCACGGTGACTCCAGGAGCTGCAACGGAGCAGGTACTAGCTCCTGCACCTGTTCCTCCTGCACCTGATGTGCAGCTGCTCCTACCCACCTCTCCTGGCCAAGCCTTGCCTGGTACGGCACCCCGGAGGCACCCCTTCCTGCCTGAGTCTCACCCTCCCAGGCAGCTACTAGACTCAACTGCTTCTCTAGGAAAGGTCTCACCTCCAGCCTGGAGCAGTCAGGATTACAGGTACAGGCAGAGGGCTGGTGGGTGGGGAAACTAAGGCACAGACCCCAGTCAGGGCACCCAGTTCTGCCAGTTCTTCTGGGAAAGAACCCCAGCCTCTAACCTGGACTCCACTCAGGACTCATCCCACTGGCCTCTTGGAGTCAGTCCAGGCCTCCAACAGAGCTCCTGCTGAGTAGTTTTCTGTTAACTCTTGCTGAACGGGAGCCCACCCCTCTGACCCCGCAGCCTGGAGCATTTTTCCAGCTGTCTGGTAGGAACATCTCCCCATTTTTATTCAGGGTACCCCAGTCTCATTCTGCATGGACAAGCACCATTAGGAGCCCTGGAGAGGGATGGTGGAGGGAGTTCTGGGTTTTGTCCAACAACACATTAGCTGACTTGCTTCCCTTACCTACCCCTCTGCCCCAGTCAATGGTTAACTTGTCCCAGCTCAGAAGGGGCCTGGCTCAATCTGGGCAAAGCCCTTCAGAGCAGCTCACAGAACTCAGCCGGGATGGAGGGGCCTGTCCCAGGACACCCATGTGCATGCCATAGTGCTGGTCACCAAAGACCAGGTGGCAGGCTGTCCCATGAGACCCTTCATGGCCCCAAAGCTGTGCAAACAGCAGAGGTGAAGCTGGCATCCTCAGGGGCTGATTTCTATCATCCTTGGATTGTAGGGCCCCAGGGCAAGGGCCTAGCCCTTAGCTTGGCCAGCTCAGGAACCTGCCTGAGCTGCAGGGCCCTCCATGTGTCACCAAATGCTGGGTCTGTTTGAAGTCCGGAGCACCTGCCCACCCCCGCCAACCCCCTTGAGCCCTCTGTGATTATGCAGGGGCACAAGGTTGTAGATATCTTGTTCTTTGCCACTTTGAGAATCTGGGAAGTTTGGACATCACATCACCTTTTTTGTTTGCTTGTTTTTAAAGCAAATCAGATTTTACACTATCTTATGATCACTGTTTACAGAATCCTACAGCTGGGTTATTTTGTAAAACAAAGAATATTCTGCTAATTTTTCTGTTTTGCAAATCCAGATTTCCATAAGTCAGGCTTGCCTAAAGGGCAAACAGCTGCTGGCTGGTCCTACATGTCCTCCTGGGCAGAAGAGACAAGAAGGCCTGGCAAAAGCATTCTTTTTTTTTTTTTTTTTGAGACAGAATCTCACTCTGTCACCCACGCTGGAGTGCAGTGGCACAATCTCGGCTCACTGCAACCTCTGCCTACTGGGTTCAAGGGATTTTCGTGCTTCAGCTTCCCTAGTAGCTGGGACTACAGGCACATGACACCGTACCTGCCTAATTTTTTTTTGTGGGTTTTTTTTTTTCGATATGGAGTTTAGTTCTTGTTGCCCAGACTAGAGTGCAATGGTGTGATCTTGGCTCACTGCAACCTCTGTTTCCTGGGTTCAAGCAATTCTCCTGCCTCAGCCTCTGGAGTAGCTGGGATTACAGGTATATGCCACCGCACCCAGCTAATTTTGTATTTTTAGTAGAGACAGTGTTTATCCATGTTGGTCAGGCTGGTCTTGAACTCCCAACTTCAGGTGGTCTACCCACCTAGGCCTCCCAAAGTGTTGGAATGACAGGCGTGAGCCACACGCTCTGTGGATTTTTTTTTTTTTTTTTTTGAGACGGAGTTTCGCTCTTGTTACCCAGACTGGAGTGCAATGGCGCGATCTCGGCTCACTGCAACCTCCGCCTCCTGGGTTCAGGCAATTCTCCTGCCTCAGCCTCCTGAGTAGCTGGGATTACAGGCATGCGCCACCATGCCCAGCTAATTTTTTGTATTTTTAGTAGAGACGGGGTTTCACCATGTTGACCAGGATAGTCTTGATCTCTTGACCTCATGATCCACCTGCCTTGGCCTCCCAAAGTGCTGGGATTACAGGCTTGAGCCACTGTTCCCGGCCAGGATTTCTGTATTTTTAGTGGTGACAGAGTTTCTCCATGTTGGCCAGGCTAGTCTTGGACTCTGGGCCTCAAGCAATCCTCCTGCCTCAGCCTCCCAAAGTGCTGGGATTATCGTCTTGAGCCGCTGTACCTGGCCTCTGGCAAAGAACATTCTAGAGAGACCACAGTACAAGGCAAGGACACAAGGGCACCATACCTGATGCCTTGGTGGAGGCCCCAGGGCAGGGCACAAGGGCTGTTCCCATCTCTACATTTTCTGACAAGTTCCTCATGATCTGTGGCTCCCTTTATGCCAAAGAGAGTTAAGCCTCAAGTTTGTCAACTTGAAATGCCTGTTAAAACAGGTGAATTTTTTTTTTTTTTGAGACGGAGTTTCACTGTTGTTACCCAGGCTGGAGTGCAATGGTACGATCTCAGCTCACTGCAACCTCCGCCTCCTGGGTTCAAGCAACTCTCCTGCCTCAGCCTCCCGAGTAGCTGGGACTACAGGTGCGCACCACCATGCCCAGCTAATTTTTTGTATTTTTAGTAGAGACGGGGTTTCACCTTGTTGACCAGGATGGTCTCAATCTCTTGACCTCGTGATCCACCCGCCTCGGCCTCCCAAAGTGCTGGGATTATAGACGTGAGCCACCACACCCGGCCCAAAACAGGTGAATTTTAATGGGCACAGGCAGAAGCTTCTTTCTCTCTGGAGCTAGAAAATCTGGTGGTTATGAGTCTCGGGAGCTGGATCTTCTGTTCTTCCATTCTCCAAGTTCCTTGCTCCAGATGAGTAGTGGTGGGGCTATGGGCCTTGTTCCAGACAAGGCAGTGACTGGGGCACCCACAGACCAAGCAAGTACCCTGTTCCTCCTTCTCTGCTCTCCCCACACCTCCTTCCAGAAACCCATTCTGGAACACTAAGTCCTGTGCAAGGCTGTGCTAAGCCCAGGTGGGGCAAGCTGCCAAAGCAAACCTCTCAGGCTGTCCCTAGGTGTGCTCACCTCTCCAGGGTGCCCTGGAAGTATTTATCGAGTCCCTCTCACCGCCCCTTCACTTTCTGAGTGGGAGCTTCACAAGATCTCCCCTCAGCTTCTCTTGCTACTTGAGCCCAGCTAAAGGGACAGAGCTGGCAATGTGGCAGCTGCTTCCCAGACAGAGAGGTGGAAAGGAATCCATCAGCTGTGTGCTCTGGGGGAGGGGGTGGGGACATGGAGGGGCAAAAGACCAGAGCAGCGAGGAGTCTGGATGCAGGCCTTCAGCTCATTGTAAGCCTAGGCTCACATCGTGCTCTCCTCTTTCCTGAATTTGATATGCTCCCCAACCCCTAAAATAATCTATTCTCATTATGGAAATTCTGGAAATCAGAAAACTAGAATAGAGAAAGCACCCTCTACTCCTACATAAAGAAAGGCACTATTAATTATTTGGAGTATGTCTTTCTGGTCTTTTTCAAAAAATGCAGTGAATACCTCCAGTTTTTAAAAGGAGGTGAACGCCAGGCATGGTGGCTCACGCCTGTAATCCCAGCACTTTGGGAGGCTGAGGTAGGCAGATCACCCGAGGTCAGGAGTTCGAGACCAGCCTGACCAACATGGAGAAACCCCCGTCTTTACTAAAAATACAAAATTAGCTGGGTGTGGTGGCACATGCCTGTGATCCCAGCTACTTGGCAGGCTGAGGCAGGAAAATCACTTGAACCTGGGAGGTGGAGGTTGCAATGAGCCAAGATCACAGCATTGCACTCCAGAGGGGTGACAAGAGCAATGCCTTCTAGCTTTCTGGTGTCCACTGGCTGCGCCTTCCTCCCCAGGAGCTTTCACAGCTGGCACCTAGGCATCCTGAGAACTAGACCACCAACCTCGCTAGTCATCACCTTTCTTCTGCCTGTTTTGTCATTGATCTTCCTTCATCTAGCAGACTGTCATCTGCTTCTATCTTACATACCTCATCTATCGATGATGTCCAGGCAACCTTCTCTCCCAGAACTTCCGCTAGCTCAAACAATACCTTTGTGGAAATTAGTCAAAGGTGAGGCCCCTGGGGAAGGCAGCTCCATGGCAGGGTACGTGGCCTATGAGTAGAGAAGCCTGGATTTCAGACCTAAGCCCCACCCTGGAAGGTACAACCTGTGATGACCGTGTCTCCCCTGTACTTCTGGGATACTTCTAACTGCTTTCTGCCTTTTTCGCTCCCCTTTCTTACGAAAGCTTGGTGGGAAAGGGAACTATCTCTTAATTATTCCCATTATCATAGGTTTTATTTGCAATGCATGGTTACCTCTGTGGGCAGGGATTAACAGTAGAGCTAAATGCTATGGCTGGATGGGATAGGTGAGGAAATCCCCCAGGATTTCCCAGTCCTAGCCTGAGGCTCTGGCTCCTGCCTTAGGAACAGCTCAGCAGCTACTTCAGCCTTGCGGGTCACTGCTGGGAAGTTCACATTGCTCAGAAAGTCACTAATTATATTTAATTTTGTAATGAATTCCAAGCAAAATGCACATGGTCTTTCTCTCCCTGTGCCACCAGTCAATGGTCTGCCCACACCTGGCAGCAGGGCGTGAGAAGTTTGCGAAGAGCGTTAAAGGCCTGGATGCTGTGTGACTTGGGCAAGCTGCCCACCTGCCTGCGGCCCTGAGGGGCCTGGCAGGAATGATCTCAAAGCTCCCGACAACCCTGCAGGGCAATGGTGTGTGCCTGTCCCACTGCCCCTCTGCCTGGTGTGGGTGGCTTCCCTGTCATGACCTTAACTTTGACCCTTCTCTTGTCTCATACTCTCCAAAAGCATGTGTCACTCCACTGACCTGAATCTTGGGTTTATTCAGCCCTACCTTCAATTCTTTAATTCTTTTTTTTTTTTTGAGACAGAGTCTCGCTCTGTTGCCCAGGCTGGAATGCAGTGGTGTGATCTCAGCTCACTGCGACCTCTGCCTCCCGGGTTCAAGCGATACTCCTGCCTCAACCTCCTGAGTAGCTGGGAGTACAGGTGTTCACCACCATACCTCGGCCCTTTCTTTAATTCTTAAAAGAAGCCCACGATTAGGAGTCTACAGCAAGCTGGTCCAAAGGCACCCACCCCCTTTTCCCATTGACCCCTTTGTCTCCCCCACCCTGCTCCAGCAGAAAGCCCCACCCTCGGCTTAGGGAGCACCATGACAACTGAAATTGGTTGGTGGAAGCTGACTTTCCTCCGGAAAAAGAAATCCACTCCCAAGGTGCTGTATGAGATCCCTGACACCTATGCCCAAACAGAGGGAGGCACAGAACCCCCGAGGCCCGACGCTGGAGGCCCCAACAGCAACTTTAACACCCGCCTGGAAAAGATCGTGGACAAGAGCACCAAGGGCAAGCACGTCAAGGTCTCCAACTCAGGCCGCTTCAAGGAGAAGAAGAAAGTGAGAGCCACACTGGCAGAGAACCCTAGCCTCTTTGATGACTGCGAGGAAGGGCGGTCATCGAAGTGAAGGACTGAGGAGGGTGCTAGCACCTCCTTGTTCCCTGTCATCAGCAGGATCTGAGACAGGAGTTTGCTACGCTGGCCTCTTTGGCCATAGCTGAAGCCATGGTGGCAGTTGATGTCTGCTGGCAGGAAATGGCTGGTTTTTAGATTTGTATTTATGTGACTCCACTTTTATATGGCCTGGGAGATCCCAGGGTCCTCCTACCCTCACCCTGACCGCATAAAAAGGCCCTCTAGTTCAAGGGTGAAAACTCTCACTCAGGATGGACAGCCCTCCTTGAAGCAATGGCAGGGCCGGCAGGGAGGTGGGCATGGCAGGGAATGGAGAGAGGGAGCCAGACTTCATCTCCTCAATGGACACAGGGTCAAGGGCGAGTTTGAATTGCTGCTCGCTTTACTTTCTCTACCCGTGACTGTTCCCTGGACCAATCCTGAGGAGGTCAATTTTTCAGAAGCCACGTGATGGACTCTGGTTTCTGTGGAGCCAGAGGCAGAGACACTGAACTTGAGCTCACCTCCTAACACAGGCAGTAAACTTCCTGGAACTGTGCCCTCAGGTGTGGAGGGGGCAGAGGACACGGGCACTCTGTGGGGGGTGCTGTAGAAGACTAGATTGATGGTAGTTTGACTTACTGGTTCCTGTTTTGGCCATGACTTGTGCAGGTGACACTCTCAAAGGGAAGCTACACTGGCCAAATTGGGGGAGTGGGTGGGGAACTTTCTCCTCTCCCTCCCCTATAGTAATGTATCCGCTCCAGAGATGGGTCCTGGAGTCTTGTTTAACAAAATAATTGTAGGTTTCTCTCTTTGTAATAACAATGCTAGAAATGCAGAGAACCTCTTTTATGCTCATGTCTTGTACTTATTGAGATGACTGTTTTTCATGCCTTTATCTTCCTTCATGTAAGTAAAGTGGACCTTTGTGCTCAAACTTTTTTTCAAGCTTCAGGAAGGGTTCCCAGGTGTGACAGTGTGGGAACTGGGTCAGTAATTTTTACCATCAAACCAGCCTTAGTATGGGGATCTGGGAGCAGAAGGAGCTAGTTACACCTCAGTGGTTAGTTCTCTCTGGTCCACAGAGAGGCCATCAGATGCTCAAGAGAGTAGGGCAGAGCTTTGGGGACTGACCCCAAAGTTTCAGTGGTTTGGTTTGGGATGAAGATTCAAACTCTGGCTCTACCCCTTAGTAGCTGGGTGACCTTGAAAACATTTGCTTGTCCTCTGAGCCTCAGTTCCCTCTTCTATAAAAGGGGGCTGAAACAATCTTATCAAAAGCGGTCAGTATTAAGTAGCCTATCAGAGGTCCCATAGTAGGTGTTCAGTTTAATACTGGCTTCCTTGCCCCTTGCTTTATAAAGAACTCCACCATACCCCATAGCTTTGGTTTAAGAAAAAGGAGAGGGCAGGTATGGTGGCTCAGGCCTGTAATTCCCACTTTTTGGGAGGCTGAGATGGGTGGATTGCTTGAGCCCAGGAGTTTGAGACCAGCCTAGGTAACATAGCGAGATCCCCATCTCTAAAAAAAACCCAGCAAACAAAAACTAGCTGACTGTGGTGGCACATGCCTGTAGTCCTATCTGCTTGGGAGGTTGAGGTGGGAGGATTGCTTGAGTCCAGGAGTTCAAGACTACAGTGAGCTATGATTGTGCTACTGTACTACAACCTGGGTGACAGAACTAGACCTGAACTCTAGAAAAAAATTTTTTTTTAGTAAATAAGAAAGAGGAGAAAGTTGTTATCTTATGATGTTAGGTCCAACTCTTTATCAAGCCATAAGAGCTGGGAACTAAAAAAAGTTGGCCAAATCTCTGGAGCTCCTGGTAGAAACACAGGGAGAGACTAAGGTGGCCACCAAACAATGTAGTCCTGCGGCTTCCAGGTCAGCTCCTGGCAGGCTGCTGGCCACCCCACCCCAGGAGCCGCTGCTTGGGGAATTTATTACTGAAACAAACAGACCTATACAAGGGAGCCTTTGTTAGGTGCCTCACCCAGGCCAGGGGGACCTCAAGTGATGGGGGAGGGAGACCAGGAGCTAGAAGGATGGAAGGCAGGCTCAGGGGTGTTGCCTTTCCCAAGGCCTCTTCCCCTACCCCTTCTCACTACACAGAACTTTCTAGGGTCTCACTAATTACTCAATCCATGAGGCCTCCAAGGAGGAACTCAGACTTTCCCCACACTACAGCCCTGCCCCATGTTAATAGGTAACATTTACAGGGTGCTTATGACAGGCGGCTCTAGAACAAGCCCTCCCTAAGGTTGCTCACTTAATCCTATCATCACCTGAGACAGGTGCAGTCATTATCCCCATTTTTCAGACAAGCTGGCTGAGGCTTAGAGGTGAAATCACTCACCCTGGGGGCCAGGCGCTGGTGGAGCTGGGACTGAAGCCAGAGCCAGCTTGTGCATGTGACCACTGTCCCACACAGTCCCTTCCACTCTTGAGTCTTACCTGCTGCGGGAACAGGAACCTGAAGCTCAGAATGAAGAAAAGCACAGATACCTGCAGAAGGGGAAGAGGGGAGGGGAGGGAGCAATGTCTGGGTCTTGGATCCTGGGAGGTGAGCATCATTTGAGGAGGCTGGACAAACTCTGGAAGCCGTGGGATAAAGCCAACCAACTTTGAAGCAGTGTCCCCTAAGACCCCAGACTACAGGCATCTCCCACATCCACCCATTCTCAGTTTCCCTGAGTGGGGAGCAATAAGGTTGGGCCCTGGGCCACCACCTCCAATCTCACCATCACCACTCTGGGTGAGAGTGTCCACAGCCCCTCTGACCATTGCATGCTGACCCCAGCTCCATCTTCTAGGTAAAGTCCACCTGTGTTTCTAAGCTGGGGGGCCAGATGGATATGGGGTAGATACTAGAAGCCAAAGGGAGATCTGACTGCCCAGGGAAGCAGAGTGAGGCAGCTGCAAGTTTTCATGAGAACAGGGAAGGAGGAGGAACCGAGAGCGTAAATATGTGCGGGAACCGGGAGAGGCTACGAGTTATCGACCACAGTTTCACTGGGACGCGGCCCAAGCAGAGGAAGGGGGAGGCAAGGGAGGCCGGCTAGAACTGGCCTCACTGCCCGGAAGGGGCCGACCCTGTGCGACGAGCTCCCCCTGCTGGACATAGGCCTACTTGATGCGGAGAAGTGAGGGGGCAGAAAAGTCGATTAAATTCCTCAAGTCCCCTCCTTGGGGGTCGAGGGAGACCAGACCGGATTGAACATCAATAAAATGCACAGCTGACAGGCTTTTATTACAGACTGGGGGCAGTAACGACTGGACAGAGAACGGAAAAGGAACAGCTGAGACCAGGCTTAAAACTGGGGGGATATACACAACCCCCAATAACACAAGGTGGGTGCAGCGCTTCTACACACACGTACACGAACTCAGAAACAGCACTGCTTACAGTACAAGAAAAAGGTCAAGGGAGCTCAGGGCACCCGACACCCTCCTGCCTGCAGGGGGCCGCAAGGTTCATGTACCTTCCTGCACTCAGGCTTAAGGGGGATTAACCAGGAGAGGGCTGCCCTGGGAGGAAGCCTGTAGATAATAGGGACTGAGGCTCAGGGCCCTGAAGGGGAAGGAAGCACAGCTCAGAGTGGCAAGCTCAATGCCAGCCAGTGCAAGCAACAGTCAGTTCTCTGATCCTGGCTTAGTCACAGCAAACATTTACCCAGCCTGGCTCCTCTCCATGGCCAGCAGGCTGCTTGCTCATCCAGGCTGTCTCTGATCAGTGGGCTTTGCTCAAAGAGAACAAACACAGTTTAGCACAGACTCAGCTGAGGGTCACAAAAGGATCACAGATTGTGAGGGTGGGAGGTCATGGTTTAGAGGTTGAGTCCAGTGCAGTTGGTCACCTGGGGTCTAGTGAAAATACAGGGTCAGATTCAGTGGGCCAGGGGTCTGAATCTCTAAGGGGCTGCCAAGTGATGCTGATGCTCTTGGCTTGTGGACCACACTGTGTATAGCAAAGCTCTAGACCAGGAGGCCTCAACTTTGGCTGCACAGAATTCTCTGGGGAGCTTTTAAATTTCCCAGTGCCCAGGCTGCCCTCATAGTAGATACAGGGTTTCACCATGCTGGCCAGGCTGGTTCAATCATCTCTGAGGGTGGGACCCAGGCATCGGAGTTCTTAAAACTTTCCAGGTAATTCCAGTGTGGGTGAAAAGCTAATGATCTAGGAGTCATCAGCAGAAGTGGGGAGTATCGACAGCAGATATATGGGTAGTCTGAAAAACATAATCTCTATAATCATTTAATTTTCCTTTTTGGAAAAACATACACACACCATTTCCACAAACAAACATAGAAAGTAAAGCTGATTAAAATGTTCCTGTCCTATTTATACCAGCACATGAATCCCTTCTACAAAATTCCTGAATGACTGGGAATAAAAATTCCTAGTGACAGCCTACTCCTTCTTAGGCAGGTCTGATTGCTTGAAATCTCTCCTAATACTGAGATGAAACCTGCTTTCCTGTAACTCTGTGGGTCCTTTGGAGCCACAGAGAAGGCAGCAATCAGTAGGGGAAGTACTATAAAAATATACTATCCTGCGCTGGGCAGAGTGGCTTATGCCTGTAATCCTAGCACTTTGGGAGGCCAAGGTGGACTGATCACAAGGTCAGGAGTTCAAGACCAGCCTAACCAACATGGTGAAACCCTGTCTCTACTTATAATAGAAAAATCAGCCGGGCATGGTGGCATGCACCTGTAATCCCAGCTACTCAGGAGGCTGAGGCAGGAAAACTGCTTCAGCCCAGGAGGCGGAGGCTGCAGTGAGCTGAGATCATACCACTGCACTCTAGATGGGGCTGGGTGACTGAGCGAGACTCCATCTCAAAAAGCAAAAACAAAAATTACATATATATATATATATACACACACACACACACACACACACACACACACACACACACAATCCTGGCCGGACACAGTGGCTCATGTCTGTAATCCTAGCACTCTGGGAGGCCGAGGTGGATGGATCATTTCAGGTCAGGAATTGGAGACTAGCCTGGTCAACACGATGAACCCCATCTCTACTAAAAATATAAAAATTAGCCAGGCGTCGTGGCGGGTACCTGTAATCCCAGCTACTAAGCAGGGATCACTTAAACCTGGGAGGCAGAGGTTGCAACGAGCTGAGATCATGCCATGTACTCCAGCCTGGGTGACAGAGTGAGATTCCATCTCAAAAAAAAAAAAAAAAAATTCTATTGGTAAATGAGTTAGTTAAGGTTAAGTTGTAAGCAACGGAAATAGATTCTAGCTAGATTAGGTCAAAAAAAAAAAAAAAAAAAGAGAGAGAGAGAGAGAATTTACAGAGATAGTGGGGTTTTTCAAGGCAGGGGGAGGAACTGCACAGCTGAACTGGGAATGAGGGATCCTGGGAATTGCAACAGCAGCAGGCAGAGGCTGTTGATTCCTGTTGTTTCCTGGCTGCCATGAATGACTTGGCTTCAGTGACTCCCAGCGCTTTGATCTCTCCATTTCAAATTTCAAATTATTGACAAAACAATCTGATTGGCCAGATTGAATCAGGTGCATATGCTGGGACTAAGCTTTGGCCAGGATGACTCAAAAGATGTCACGAGAAAGGCGGCTGCTACCCCAGAGGGAGCTATCCTAATCAATCATAGGCAAGGTCAAAAAAATAATTATGGAATTATTTTCCATTTGTGATTCTCTACGCCACCATTACACTCCGCTTGACCAGCTAACTGAGAACCAACTGAGAACAGAGAACTCGGAGGATGAACTCTGAAGAGTCCTGAATATAAGGGGTAGGGAGGGAAATGGGCTGAGGTTAGAAAGAAGGGCCTGAGTCCCAATCCCACACCGTCTCTTGACACCTAGCCCTAGCTCCACTCTGGGCCAGAGTCAAGGTGCAAGTCTTTCATAGAGCCAGTCTTCCTCCCCACGGTGGGTCATGGGCCCCAAAGGGGAATCTCCTGTGGGTAGGCCCCGCCGAAAGACTATCCGGTCATGCAGGCGGTTGGTTTGACCTTGCCAGAACTCCATCACCTGGGGGTACAGGACATAGCCACCCCTATAAGGAGAAGCAGGGGTTTCAGTGCTCTGTGGGTTTTTTCTAGCCAGGTCACTCTCCTACCCTCACCCCTCACCCCAGGGCCCCTTGAAGGAAATTGCTGGGATGCATCTGACAAGGGTTGTCAGGGAGGAGGAGATCTGTGATTCCCCAGGCAGGTGGCTTCAAGTAAATGTGAGGGCATGGTGTCCCTTTCTAGATGACTACCAGATGTCACTCACCAGTATTTTGGCTTGGGCACCTCTTGATCCTGGTAGAGCTGTTCCAGTTCCTCATTTTTCTTTCTCAGATACTGTCCAGGGGAAGGAGTTAGAAGAAGGGCCAGGCCCAGTCAATCATTCATTAGCAAGGACTTCCTGTGGATGTGTGCTGGGGAGATGGGTGAGCAGAGCAGACTGGCCTCTATCCTCCAGGAGCACACAGTCAACGAGAGGGCCAGACAGACAGAGGAGGCCTATTTCCCCTCTCCCACCCCCACTTCCCCTAGGGAGATTGTCCTTTTCACTGTCTTCACTAGAGAGAGAAGAACCAGGTATCTTCTAGGGATAAGCCAAAGCCTCCACCACCTGGAGGACTATGGCAGAGCCCCACTCACCTCCCGATCAGGGATCACAGAACTCTGGTGGCTGACCACAGCCCCAATCTGGCTGCTCTTGGGGCGGGAGTGGAAGTAGCACTCAGCCTCCTCCTCGGACAGCTTCTTCACAGGGCCTTCCACACGCACCTGCTCAGGGATGGCTCTGGGTGAATGGTGTTCAATGCCACCTGCCGTCCCTACCAGCACAGGCCCCGTTCGTCTGTTCTCTCTATCCACTGCCTCACCACTCCTGGCTCCAACTAGACCAGCTAACTGAGGGCTGTTTTGGAGGCAGAGTGCCCAGGTGGGACGTTTGCCCAGTCTGGAGACCTTCACTAGACTCAGCCATAAACTCAGGTCCTGCCAACCCAGTCTATTTTTCCAGGCTTTTCTGGGAAAAGTCACTCACCTGACGGTTAAGTGGCTCCCAGTAGAAGACAAGGGAAGCAAAGGGATTCGAGTCCTAGAAGTAAAAGAGAATCTACAACCAGCCATCAGGACAGGGAGAGGAGGCCTCCGGCATGCAGGGGAAAGGCAGGAGAGCTGTAGTGTGCAGGCCTGCAGCAGATGCATCCACTGTAATAGCTCATTTAAATCCTCAAAGGTGGGCCTGTTGTCACAGATACAGCGACAGGCTAAGTCACACGCCCAAGTTCCCTCAGTAATGGTGGAGCTAAATTTAAGCCAGTTGCACTCCAAAGTGAGGCTGGGACACTTCTCTCACCCACAGATTTGTGAGTCTTGAGATGCTGGCATAGACTCAGGGAGGTTTACTCATTTTGGATCCATTCATTGAATGCACATGAAGCGCCCACTCTGGGTCTGATAATAGGAGACATGCAGTGGGTACAGCAAAGATAAAACAGAGCAGCCTCCACTCCTAGAGAGCTTACTGTTCGGCAGAGGAGACAAATATCCGTTACATAATCACCTAAATAAATGCTCATTTACAAACTGAAGAAAATAACAAAAAGGAATGTTGCAAGTTATAATGACAGCAAACAGCATGAGGGACTGAGTCAGAGTCAAGGAAGGCCTTCCTGAGGCGGTAACATGTTGGCTGAGATCTGAAGGAACAGGTGAAGGCTGATGGGGGTGAGGCAGGGACCTTTGCATTAATTAATTCATTCATTCATTCATGGCAAAGAGCAGGGCAAGTGCCAAGGCCTCATGGCAGGAGGATACTTGCACACAGAGAGCAAGTAGATGGGAAGGGGTAGGGGCAGGTGGCATGAGAAGGTGACAGAAGGCAAGAGCCAGACCCTGCAGGCCCTGGGAAAGATTACCAGCCCTTTTCACTGACCAGCTCTTTTCCTTTTCGGCTCTCGAAGTTGGTGAAGAAACGGAAGCCATCTTTGCCAAAGCCCTTCAGTAACAACATGCGGGCAGAGGGTTTTCCATCTCTAGGGGCAAACAGCAGAGCACTGTGGTCAGAGCCTGCTTCAAGGTTCTGGCTACAGTCCCTCTCCCCAAAAGATGTCTAAGCACCCCCTCCAGCTGCACCCCCTTTATTGAGCTGTCAGGCTGCCCCCTCCCGTGTGCTTCTGGGGATTTGTCCTAGAGGTATGACACTACAGCCTGAGGCCCTGTTACGGACTGAACTGTGATACCCAAAACCCCTATGTCAAAGCCTTAAACCCCAATATGACTGTATTTGGAGACAGGGACCTTATGGAGGTAACTAAGGTTAAATACGGTCATAGGGTGGGGCCCTAATCCAATAGGATTGGTGTCACTGTAAGAGAAGAGACACTTCAGAACCACCTCCCCTACCCCCGCACCCTCCAACACACACACACACACACACACACACACACACACACACACACGAAAGGCAGTGTGACGACATGGCAAAAAGCAGCTGTCTGCAAACCACGCAGAGGCCTCACCAGAAACCACTCCTGATGGCACTTTGATCTTGGACTTCTAGCCACCAGAACTATAAGAAAATAAATTCCTGTTGTTTAAGCTACCAGTCTACAGTATTTTGTTAAGACAGCCCTAGCAAACTCATAAGACCTTAAGGGCAGGGACTAACAATAATGAATCATCCAATGCTTAGGGATCATGGTGGTGCTATTAGATCAGCTCCTCTGCTCAGAGCTCTGGGAGATAGGCACTCGCACAGTATAAGAGCACTGCTTTCAAGGCCTTACAGTTTAGCTAGGAGTATTGTTCTATCTATCATAGTCTGAATAACAGGCTATAATACAAGTTATGTCTCAAAGGACATATGATTGTCAAAGGAATGATATAGTGAAGTACTGTACTAGATTTTGAGAGAGGAACAGAGCTTCAGCAGAAGTAGCTCCTGAACGGCAGATGGGGTTTGGGTAAATGGAGAGATGAGGGAGGCAAGGGATTGTGTATGGCTGTATAAAGGGCAGAGATGAACAAGGCACTGCATTTTTATCACTGACATGTAATTTTGTGGTCTGGTCTCCGGTTTATAAGTAGGGACATAGAGGCCGAGAGAGGACAAGTATGCTGCCTAAAGCCACACAGTACATTAACAACAGAGCTGGAACCATAAAGTCGGCATCTAGAGCTGAGAGCTTCATAAGCTCCTACTTCATATGTACCCAGCCAAGGAGGGTCCCATGGCCATGCTCACCTGGTACAGGTAGCCAGACACATGGCGTTGGCCTCCCCTATGTCAGGACACTGAACAGCATCCTCAAACCAGGCAGCAAACTGTTTAACTGGGTCCAGGGAGGCCAGATGAGTCTCCTCAAATGCCTAGAAAGGGAGTTTTATTTCATTTAATAAACATATATAGCGCTTACTATGTACGTGGTACTGTTCTAATCACTTTTCAAATATCAACTGATTTAGTCCTCATGACAATGACCTTAAAATAAAAAATAGCATGCAGTAAGAAGATTCTATGCCCCATTTTATAGGTGAGGAAACAGGCATAAAAAGGTCAGACAACTTGCTGTCCCAGAGCTAGCAATGGATAAATCAGAGTTTTATGTCATGGGTATCAAAACTGTCTGTGTATCAGAATCACCTGGGGAGCATTAAAAAACTTTCTGGGCTCCACCCCCATAATTTCTCATTCAGCAGGCTGAGATTTAATCAAAAACTGCTTTTTTTTTTTTTTTTTGAGGCAGTGTCTCACTCTTTCACCTAGGCTGGAGTGCAGTGGTGTGATCTTGGCTCACTGAGGCCTCAACCTCCCAAGCTCATGTGATCCTCCCACCTTATCCTCCCAAGTAGCTGGGATTACAGGCACGCTCCAACATGCCTGACTAATAAAGGTTCTCTTGGTTCCCATCCTGAGGAGGGAAAAGGAAAAGAACTTCCCAGCGGTCAGCAAAAAGTACTGAAGGCAGTAAGCTAAGAGCTTTCTCCTCCCTGAGCTAGTCCCCTTCCCCAAATTCCACTTACTTTTTTCTCAAACAGTTTGTAAGCTCTTTATCACTGTATCCACCCAAAGAGGGGCCCATGACCATGCCCTCCTTGGGGAGTTTGGGTGACCCCCAAACCTCCTTGCCCCAGGGGGTGGCCCCAGGAGCCCTGAGGGGCTGGCTCCTCCTAATCCCCTCCTCCGAGTAGATGACTCTGAAAGACCCCTCTTCCCCCACCACTTGAGGGAGGCCCGGCCCTGTCATGACATCTATGACATGAAACCCTGATTAATCCATCACTGGCTCAGCGGGACTGAGCAAGTTATCTGACCTTGCTACCTGTACTAGGTGAGTAGCAGGGTTCTAAGCACTTTACAGACATCTAAGTTCTTAACATCCCCGTGAGCTAGGTACTATCACTTCCCAGATGAGGAAACTGAGGCCCAGAGAGGTTAAGGATTCCAACCCAGGTAGGCTCCAAATTTCGAGCTCATATCCCTTACGAAAGGCTGACGTTCGAACCCATCTTCATTTGCATTTCCCCGGAACTGCTCCCCCGGTCGGATGTCTTTGAAGCCCCCTTATCCCACGGGGGTGATCCCCAAACCTCCTTGCCCCATTGGCTGGCCCCAGAAGTCCCGAGAGGTTCCTCCTACTCCCCTCCCCGCTGTAGATGAATCTGGGGACCCTTCTTCCCCCGCCCTGCGGGAGGCCTGGCCCTGGCGGCGGCACCTCTCGGTCCCCGCGGTAACTCTTGCGCATGGGTCCCAGGTCCATTGCAGCACCACGACCACACAGGTGACGGAAGTAGCCTGGCCACTCGGCAGGTCGCCCAAACGTCGCAGTGACGCCCCGCAGCCAGCACGTCATGGGGACCGCCGGCCACGTGACTCGGCTGTCGCCCCACGCTGGGTTCCTTTGAGTTCGGAACCAATTTCTCACCGCAGACGTCTACCTCCGGGAAGGAAGGATTTGCTAGTCGCCCAACCAAGCTAACAGGTCCTAAGTCCTCAGAGCCAATGGGAGTCCAGGATCGGAGGAGGGAGACAGGCACGGAAAGGTCATTGGTTGGAGCTTTTGGGGAGCGAGGCCAATTAGAGTGTGAACAGAGGAACCCAGCGGCCAATGGGCAGCTCCTTTGGGGGCGGGAGCAGAGAGACAAGGAAATGCTGTCACCGCCGTTAAACACGCACGTGGAGGTTAGTTAAAGGTATAGGAAGATCTCCTGCAGCTCAGGAGGGGCGGAGGATGTGTCCCGGGGGCTTGAGGGGAGTGGTCAGTGTTAAGTGGCTGGCCCATAGTAGGTGCCTGAAGGTGAGCTTAAGGCAGGAAGTACCCCCTGGGAGGGGAGACTAGTGGAATGGGAAAAGAAAATTGGAAAATGGTCAGGGGCCAGACTGAGGCAGGGTGATGGGGACACATAGAGAAAAGGGTAATCTGGTTGTGGGAGAAATTAGGGCATGAGAGTGGGAGAGGTTGAAATGACTTGTGGACCATGCCCGGACTGGGAGGTGCAGTGGGGTTAGGAAGAGACGGTCAGGTGAGAAGGAAGATGGCTGAATGGGAAGGGGGAAGAAGGAAATTTGGGACCAAGGCGTCCCAGATGAGAGTTGTTTTCCTCTTCTAGTTTTGTTTTTGTTTTGTTTGAGACAGAGACTAGCTCTGTGTCTCAGGCTGGAGTGCAGAGGCGCGATCTCAACTCACTGCAGCCTCTACCTCCCAGGTTCAAGCAATTCTCTGCCTCAGACTCTCGAGTAGCTGGGATTGCAGGCACCCGCCACCACGCCTGGCTAATTTTTCTATTTTTAGTAGAGACAGGGTTTCACCATGTTGGCCAGGCTGGTCTCAAACCCCTGATCTCAAGTGATCCACCTGGCCTCCCAAAGTGCTGGGTTTATAGGCATGAGCCACAGAGCCCATCACCTCTTCTAGTTTTGAACTCTCCCTCCAGTCTCATTTATTTAAGCAAGGGTCAGAACATACTGCTCCCTTTGCTCATGGTTTTCCCTGTCATGGTCCACTGGAGTTCATAGGAGCCAGTGTCCTGGTATATGGCAAGGCTGCCAATGTCCTGTCTCTCCAGGGCCTCCCCTATCTTTATCAAGCTTTCCCTTTTCCACATTTTGCCCATCCTAGATAGTAGGAGTCTAGCACCTAGGTCAATGCCAGCAATTGCCAACTGAGAGTACACAGAGCAGGTGGCTGTGCATAGCCATTCCAGGCAGTGGATGCAAGGCTGAAAAATGGGAAACCCACTTGTGCCTAATCCAGTTCTGACCTGGCTGGGGCAGCCTTGGGTTGAGACCTCTCTGTAGCCCTGCTTTCCACCAGCATCAGGAAGGGGAGCTGCAAGAGCCATCTAGGCAGGCACCCAGGACTGTGCCAGGTAAGGTTCCCCTTCCTGGCCTGCCCAGGTGTCTGCATTACAGCTGAGCTTCATAAAGCCCTAGATTAGATACCTGACATCCTTTATGTGTACATAGCTTGAGCCAGATAGAATCTCTAAGACAATTTTGCTGCAAGGAAATAATATGTGTCTCAAGGCTTAATGATATTTTCTATGGATTCTCCATTGGTTGGAATTTTTTGTGCTGCCATCATTTTCCTCCATCAGCATAATTGAGAGATAGTTAACTGGATTTACTTTCCTGAAGTTGTCTTTCTATATAAGAACATTGCTGTCTTCCCGCCCTCCTAAGCCCCTGTAGTTGAACCTGTGTAAGCAGTAATGAATGCACTTTGACTCAGATGGCTTTTGTTCTTTTTTTTTGAGATAGAGTCTCCCTCTGTCACCCAGGCTGTAGTGCAGTGGTGCGATCTCGGCTCACTGCTAGGTTCAAGCCATTGTGCCCCAGCCTCCTGAGTAGCTGGGATTACAGGCGTGTGCCACCACACCTGGCTAATTTTTTGTAATTTTAGTAGAGACAGGATTTTGCTATGTTGGCTAGACTGGTGTCGAACTTCTGACCTCAAGTGATCTACCCACCTCAGCCTCCCAAAGTGCTGGGATTATAGGCATGAGCCACTGCGCCCGGCCATGGGGTTTTTCTTCACACTCTTTCAGCACTCCTGGGATGCTGCTTCCCTGGACCTGGATTCTAGGACACCAAGACTAAGATCATCTGTGTACTTAAAAGCCAACAGCTCAGTGTAGTGGGGGTAAATACATATTTATGTATTCATTCAGTAGACGTTTGTTAAAGACTTCCTTTGGACCAGACACTGAACCAGGTCTGAGAACATTAAGATGAAGATGACAACCTGGGCTTGTAGACTATAGGGGGAGGCAGATTTGTGAGCTTAAGAATTGTTGTGGCCTTTTATTTATTTATTTATTTTGAGATAGAGTCTCACCCTGTTGCCCAGGCTGGAGTGCAGTGGGATGATCTCGGCTCACTACAACCTCTGCCTCCTGGGTTCAAGCGATTCTCCTGCCTCAGCCTCCCGAGATATTTTAACAGGTGTTTCTGTGCAGTAAAAAGGAGCAAAAAGAAGAGGATCAAACAGTCAGGAAAGGCTTCATAAAGGGAGTGGACATTTGATGTCTTAATGAGTAAGTTTTTGCTGGATGGACAATAGAACAGCTGTTCCAGCAAGAGGGAATATTGTGAGTAAAGGCATGGTGCACTTGGGGGACCCTGGAGATGTGTGATACTGCTGGAGCAAAGGTGATGAGAAAACAAGCTGATCAAGCAGGCAGGGGCTAAATGATCCTTGCTGAAGAGTCATCACGAAGGTGGTGCTGAGGGCCAGGCTTTTAGACACAATGATTCTGATATTTTATCCTGTGACATTTTTTAGCCTGTGAACCAGCCTCTAGTTTCTGCTTTTTAAAGACTGATGGGAAGAAAAGTGCTACATTCTGACAGCCTCTCCTTCCCTTGGCAATTAGCAAAGAAGTGTGCAGCTGACTGCCTTTTTGTATTGTTCCCTTTGTCTTGAAGATAGTAAGTAGACTTGTGTTACTTTTCTGCTTAGTCAGATTTGGTGTCTGGATCACAAAGCAGCCCTGCAGTGCACAACCAGAAGGGAAACAAGCCTCCTGGCTGCTTTTGCTACGGATGCAACCACCAGCAGGGGCTTTCTGAGTGGGAGAAAGGAATTATTTTACAGTTCCAGTCTTTTCTTGAGAAAGTCCTAAATGAACAGAAAATACATAGCAAAAATTTTATTGTACAGAGAGGCACACTGGTTTCTCAAGATGAAACAAAAAAGTCTGCATGGCCGGGTGTTGTGGCTCATGCCTATAATCCCAGCACTTTGGGAGGCCGAGGCAGGTGGATCACTTGAGGTTAGGAGTTTGAGACCATTTCTACTAAAAATACAAAAATTAGCCAGGTGTGGTGGCAGGTGCCTGTAATCTCAGCTACTCGGGAGGCTGAGAGGCGTGAGAATGGTTTGAACCTGGAAGGTGGAGGTTGCAGTGAGTGGCGATCACACTACTGTACTCCAGCCTGGGCAACAGAGAGAGACTCTGCATGTGGGTTTGGGGACTGTGCCTTGCTTGTTTTCTTCTAATGCTTTTGCATTTACTTTCTATTTTTCTTTTTTAAGACAGAGTCTCACTTTGTCGCCCAGGCTGGAGTGCAGTGGTGCAATCTGGGCTCACTGCCACCTCTGCCTCCCAGGTTCAAGCAATTCTCTTTTCTCAGCCTCCCTAGTAGCTGGGATTACGGGCGCCTGCCACCACACCCAGCTAATTTTCTGTATTTTTAGTGGAGGCGGAGTTTCACCATGTTGTCAGGCTGGTTTCGAACTCCTGGCCTCAAGTGATCCGCCCTGCTTGACCTCTCAAAGTGCTGGGATTAGAAGCGTGAGCCACAGCACCTGGCCACATTTACTTTCTTAAACCACCTTTTTTCTTTTTTTTTTTGAGATGGAGTTTTGCTCTTGTTACCCAGGCTGGAGTGCAATGGCGTGATCTCGGCTCACCGCAACCTCTGCCTTCTGAGTTCAGGCAATCCTCCTGCCTCAGCCTCCTGAGTAGCTGGGATTACAGGCACGCGCCACCATGCCCAGCTAATTTTTTGTATTTTTAGTAGAGACAGAGTTTCACCATGTTGACCAGGATGGTCTCAATCTTTTGACCTTGTGATCCACCTGCCTCAGCCTCCCAAAGTGCTGGGATAACAGGCGTGAGCCACCGTGCCCTGCTAAACCACCTTTTTTCTAATTATCTAAGTTATGTATTTCAGTTTTACTTTAGTGATTGAGTTTGTGTTTTGGAATCTGGCTCTGGTGACCAAGTGCGTGATGAGCAAGGGAGGGCGAGTCTGGTAGCAGGGATACATTGGTAGATGCTGCAGATTTGTCTAAGTGGAAGGTGGGGGCAGGATCCCAATGCATGAGTATGGGGTAGGGTGTGTGGAGAGGAGGGATCCACTCACCAGGACTGGCTTTAGGTGACATGGGTGGTTCTGTTCATTGAAGTGGGGCACATTGGAGGAGGAGGTTTGGGGGAATTCCTTAGCAACATTTTGAGTGTAAGTGTTGATGGGACACCCACGTTTGGCCAGGTTGGATAATGGAGTCTCTAGCTTAGCAGGGAGGTCAGGGCTGATGATACTGGGTTAGGTAGAATGAGCCTCAAGGTGGCACTTAGAGGGAGGATGAGAATGTTTGAGAAGGTAAGAGGGCCTGGGAGGGCTAGGGAGGGTGGTGGGGAAAGGGAGAGTCAAGCAGTGAGAATGATGCTGGTGAAATATAGTGTCCTTATTAGTTTTCTTTCCTTTTTTTTTTTTTTTTTGAGATGGAGTTTTGCTCTTGTTGCCCAGGCTGGAGTGCAATGGGACAATATTGGCTCACTGCAACCTCCACCTTCTAGATTCAAGCAGTTCTCCTGTCTCAGCCTCCCGAGTAGCTGGGATTACAGGCGCGTGCCACCACACTCAGATAATTTTTGTATTTTCAGTAGAAACAGGGTTTCACTATGTTGGCCAGGCTGGTCTTGAACTCTGGACCTCAGGTGATCCACCCACCTCAGTCTCCCAAAGTGCTGGGATTACAGGTGTGAGCCACTGCGCCCAGCCAGTGTCCAGCTTTCTAAGAAGGGAGAGGAAGAGGGCTGATAGCAGAGCAAGGGGTGCGCTGGAGGGTCTGAAGCTCAGGAATTCTTGGGCCCAGCCTTGGGGTGAACTCAGCTTGGAGCCCCAAGGGTAGCAACACCAGGACTCACAGAAGGGTGTGTGCTTGGTGCTCT